CATTTTTTGGGGGAGGCAAGTGCGTCTTATGGAGCAAAAAGCAGTATGTTTTTCTAGTACATAATCTGAACATAGAAAAATGAGATTTTTTTTGTCCTTCCATCCAAAAGTTTAGGGTTCTTTTGTATGAGATGAAGAAAGATACAGTTACTTTATTAATAAGTATTGGTCCTTGTTATCATAGAAGAAGGGCAGGGTATAAAATTATGCAGACACTCATTCCCTTTGGAACAATCTCTTTATTCAACCACATCATATGGATCTTAGCCCATCAGAAGGGTCAGGGAAGTAGTACATAGACACAGGATCATACAGTTAAAGTCAGTGTTGATGCTTGTTCTGTTTTGTTTTAAGATTCAGTCTATTATTTAAACTTCAGAATTGTGAGCAGTCTTGAAATTTTTTAACTTTAAATATTTTAATGATAAAATAAAAACAAAACTGGAGAATCAATTCAGGTGCTAATTTACGAGGATTCCCCTTGTTTCAATAGTTATTTTTTTGAATATAATCCAACATTTCAGTAAAATTTCTTTTTTCACTTGTCCTAGCCACGTGTTCCACTGCCTATGATGTTTACAAAACTGAATTAACTTTTGTTTCAAAATTAGTTGCTACAGATTCCAGTGTGTGGGTAAGAGACATAAATACATTCAAAGCATCATCGCAACACTCCTTGTATTTTTGCAATCATTCGCAAATACAAGGAAAATGATGATGACTAGGTAAAATACAAATGCAAATATACTTGCAAATACAGGTACGGGTACATTCAGAAAATGGAAAATGGTTATGACTAGTTGAAACAGTCTGTTTCAAGGTTTTTGCATATATACAGTTTTAGAAGAGAAGCCATGTTAGTCTGTGCTATTGCATATCAGGCCAAAACAAATGAAAAATAAAAAAGACAAAAGCACTATGGCACCATAAAGACTAACTGCTATATTTTAATGTGAGCTTTTGTGGACAAGACACATTGAAATATAACATTTGGTCTTTATGGTGCCAAGTGTTTTTGTCTTCTTTATTTTTTATTTTTGCCTGATAAACACATAAGCTGCATCTTACTCATTGCTTCCCACCACCAACATCAACTATTTTTTCAAAATAAAAATATATTTAAAGAGATTTAGAATATTTTGCTTGTTTGTTCTTACGTGCCAAAGTTCTGTTTCTTATAAAGGAAGCCTCTTTTCTTGTTGTTTAGTTGTTAAGTTGTGTCCGACTCTTTGTGACTCATGGACCAGAGAACAGTAGGCCCTCCTGTTTTTCCACTGCCTCCCGGAAGTGGGTCAAATTCTTTTCTTCTCATGAAATGGCCAAAGTACTAGATCCTCAGCTTCAGGATCTGTCCTTCCAGTGAGCACTCAGGCTTGATTTCCTTTAGAATTGATAGGTTTGTTCTCCTTGCAGTCCAGGGACGCTCAAGGGTCTGCTCCAGAATCACAATTCAAAAGCATAAATTCTTCGGTGGTCAGGCTTCTTTATGGTCCAGCTCTCACTTCCATACATTGCTACTGGAAAAACCATAGCTTTGGCTATGCAGACCTTTGTTGGCAAGGTGATGTCTCTGCTTTTTAAGATGCTGTCTAGGTTTGTCATCACTTTCCTCCCAAGAAGCAGGTGTCTTTTAATTTCGGGGCTGCTGTCACCATCTGCAGTGCTCATGGAGCCTAGGAAAGTAAAATCTGTCACTGCCTCCATATCTTCCCCTTCTATTTGCCAGGAGGTGATGGGACCAGTGGCCATGATCTTAGTTTTTTTGATCTTGAGCTTCAGGTCATTTTTTGCACTCTCCTCTTTCGGCCTCATTATGACGTTCTTTAATTCCTCCTCACTTTCTGCCATCAGAGTGGTATCATCTGCATATCTGAGGTTGTTGATATTTCTTCCGGCAATTTTGATTCCGGCTTGGGATTCATCCAGTCCTGCCTTTCGCATGATGTATTCTGCATATAAGTTAAATAAGCAGGGAGACAATATACAGCCTTGTTGCACTCCTTTCCCAATTTCGAACCAAACAGTTGTTCCATAAAAGCCTCTTTTAGCGTAATTCTAATTTTGAACAGTTCAGTCCTCAGATGTATTTAAACACTGGGGTTAGTACATAGAACAGAAGTGAGTAAAACCAATTTTAGAAAGAAATAATGTAAATAGCATATGTATTAGAAGTAATTAAGATTAGACAGTGCCACTGCAGGAAGGATGAGAGAAACTGTTAAAACCATCAATCAGCTGAAGGAAATGGGTGGATGTAATATGAATTTGGCTTGTCTTCTAATCATTTTCATATGCTGGATTTCCCTTCAATCCAGTATAGACATTTATACATTTTGTTCATCTGAGTCATATGCAGTTCTAGTTGAAATTTCATTATAGTTTTGTTTTCTTATTATTTGTTTCTTTGTGTTAGTTTTCACAGTTCTGATTCCTGGTGTGTTCAAGTAAGAGTATGACTTATTTTGGGGGCATTGCTTCTATATTTTCAAATAAGTCACAGTTTCCATCTGTTTTTACTTGACTTGTGGTTGTGAAGATCATGCTTGGCCCATGGGATCTAACAGTGTGCTGAGAGGATGTGGAGTTTTTGTCAGCCAGTGAAATATGTCTGGCTCACTATCCTCCTGCTCCCCCCATGGCTCTCATATGCCTTTCATCATGTGTGGTCCCACTGAACTGAATATATTTAACAGCTTTACTCACCTTTCCTATCTGTTACTGGGTTTTTTTTTTCTCAGTACAAGAGTCTTGTGTGGGAACAGAAGAACCCAAAATAATTATAGTTACAGAAATATAAATCTTCCTTAGTGTATTAATAACATTTGCCGTAAATTTTTTAAAAACCTAATCTGTGGGTACACTTTGATATCAAATTCTGTTCACATGTACAAATTGCCTGGGGGGGGGGAATGTTTATAGTAAAAAGGCCATCATATTCTCTACTTATAAGATGTTACTATATTCTTTATTCCAGGCCTTACTGCAGTCCATAGTTGAGCAGCGCGAAGAAGCCATTGAAAAGCAGTATGTATCTGCAGTTGAGAAACAAGCACAAAAGTGTGAAGAGCTGCTTCTCGCTCAGGTAATTGCAATATTTCTGCACAAATGCTCTCTCTCTCTCTTTCTCTTTCTCTCTCTCTGTCTCTCTCTCTCTCTCTCTCTCTCTCTCTGTGTGTGTGTGTGTGTGTGTGTGTGTGTGTGTGTGTGTGTGTGCGAGAGAGAGAGAGAGAGAGAGAGAGACAGAGGGCGGGGAGAGAGAGAGAGAATATCTATATTTTGTCCCAAACAGCTTTTGAAACTTTTTTTGTTTTCAGATGACATTTTTCATGTAGCATGAGAGGCTGCTTTTTGAGAAACTGAAGCCTGAAACTCCCTTTAGAAAAGTTGTCTGGTTGTTTTTCTTTTTTTAAACAATAACTTATAATTAGTTAGGCATCTTTCAGCCTTGAAAGACTATGGTAATATGCTCTGTATGGAGGACTTGGAAAAGCATCTAGTGTGGCTGAGAAGGCCAATTCGAGAGTGACAATCCCTTCCACAACTGCTCCTTCCCATGTTCTTTTGACGCTGTATGCGAAGCTGGAGTGTCCTCTCCAGAGCACGACGCCTGGGTAAAATAATACGGAGGATAGGCTGTTACCCAAGCAGCAAATCCCCCCTCTCCACGTTGCTGAAATAGTCCAGTGGAAAGGCAAGAGCCAATACAACTGGTTCCAACGACGTCGCAGGAGTTGCCAGAATGACACAAACTGGCTCCAGGATATAGCCACAAGTCAGTGGAGGTTTGAATTCAGAGTTTTCCTTCTCCTAGATGGGCTGTCTTCCCAGGCTGACGAGCCTCACCTACCCGGCCTGTTTTCTAACATTAACATTTAACATCTAACTAATTCTTTCCAAGTCCCGATTGCCCCACTTCTACACAATGGGATTGTATTTTGCTGTTTCCTCTCTAGGTAATTTGTATGTGGCAATTAAAAGGCCCTATTATTATTTTTCACAGGTCCAAATGGAGTGTAATGGCTTTTCAAATTAAAATGTTCTAATTACTTTTCCAAAATAAAAACAATTTATAGTCATGAATAAACAGAAGTATAGTTCCTAACAGTTAGAGCAGTATGACAGTGGAACTAGTTACCTTGGGAGTTGGTGAGTGCTCCAACACTGGAGGAATTCAAGAGAAACTTAGATAATCACCTGGCAGATATGCTTTGATTGTATTCTTGCACTGAGCAGGGAGGTGGACTTGATGGCTTTGTAGACCCCTTCCAACTTCACTTTTCTATGATGCTATGATTCTATAATGACACAAAGGGCAAAATCCTGTCGCACAACTTTGCCCCAGTGTAATCTGGACTGGGTTCTAGAAACATTTATTTAAAATTTATTAAAAATGTTTTATGAAAATGTTATATGTAATCATAGCAGACTATGGCTGGATTAAGAGCCAGTAATGTATTGTAATATTTAGGTGTGGTATAGTGGATAGTGTGATATACTAGGACTCAGGAGGCCCAGGTTCAAATCCCCACTCAGCCATGGAAACTCACTGGGGACATGAAGCTGGTAAAACTGTTCTTAAATACAAGCACTCCTCACTACTCTTGCAACTCGATCGTTAAGGTTGATGTGAAGAACAATAATACTATATCAAGGAGTAATCATGTAATCAACCATTGAGAAAAGCCCTGCTCTCACCTGCCCGTCACAGCAGAACAGTGGAGAAGGAGCCAATGAGAGGATGGAAGGCGGAGCCAAGGGGGGAGGGGGCTGAATATAAAGGGTGGTGTATGGAGTATGAAGAGAGATTCTGGTAGTGAGAGTGTGAAAATTAAAAGAGAACTAAGAGTGAGTTAGAGATCTGTAAGAATGCTGATTGGAACTGAGAGTTAATAGAGTTTTAAGGTTAAAGTAGAATTGATTCAAATACAAGTGATTTACAAGTGATTCAAATACCTGTGATTTACCTATCGAATATTGATCCTATAGTAACTTCCCTGATCTAATAAATGACTTAAGTTTTAAATGTACACATGTCTCCTTGATTAAATCGTATTAAGGCAGCAATATCTGGTGGCAGCGAAAAAAGAAGAGCGAGAACCTTATGAAGGCCTGGGGGAATAGGGGCTTCAGAGGAGATCTCCACAATCATTAAGGTTGATGTGAAGAACAATAATATTGTATCAAGGAGTAATCATGTAATCAACCATTGAGAAGGGGCTTGGTGAAGTGGCAAACACGGATTTATGAGGGTCGTAAAGGGTTGTAAATCTGAATGGTCATTAAACAGGTAGGTTGTTAAGTGAGGAGTGCTTGTATCTCACTTACTTGGAAAGCTCTATTACGTTGCAGTAATTTGGTTGTGACTTGAAAGCACATAACAACAATTTAATTCATTTAAATGTAACACCAGCCCTTCTGTTCAAAGTTGAACTAAAATTGTGGTTCTAGCCATGGTTTATTTAGCAGCCAAGACTTATTTAGCAGCCAAGGCCACTGGAAGTTGTAGTTAGAGAGAGAGGAAACAAAACTTTTTTTGGCTTGACCCAAGCCTTCTGAAGTTGAAGTGTGGCCTAGGGACACACCTAGAGCTTGTAGGGTTCTTTGCCTGGACATTCACCAGCTCCCTAAAACCCAAATAAAGGCAATATTGTGTGTCTGGGATCAGTGTGGGAAGGAGAATTGACTGGGTCACCTACCTTTGTCATACCAAGAACACCACTTCATTCTTCAGGTGGCTTGGTGTAACACGTGTTGATAGGATCAATGCCTCTGTGTCAACTACTAGAGGCAGTCAAGATCTATGTTGAGATCCCTATCCAGATCCCCATCATATCACTCTGAATGGTGGTCATGATCATTGACTCTGTGGAGGTTCAGGCATGAGTCATAGTCACCAACCCCACACTGATACTGTATGGATCCTCAATATCATCTGTAACATGGCTTTGCCCTATCCTTTTTCTACAAACCACTGTTTTTGGAAGTTGTGACTGGGCTTCTCCTCATTCGCTACATGAGCATACACCAAGTTAACAGAATTCCGGCTGACCCCATCATAAAGAAACTGCTTCACCTCTTCAATGTCAAGAAAGATCTGTGTCACAATCATGGTTACCACCAATGATGAAACAGAGATTTCAATTTTGAAGCCTCTAACAGAGTTCACTTCAGAATCAAAGCCTAATGAAACAGAGTGATTGTTGCTATTTAAACCAACCCACTCACCACCAGTCCGAATGTCAAAACCTACAGCTCTATCGGAACCCGTTTCAGAAAGGTCAGATTCTCCACAACTAGAGTCATCTGATTTGGAGTCAGAGAACATTCGCTTGTCACCTCCATCATCTCCATCTTAAATGCCATCTTCTCCTGACTCCATTTTGGGAGATACTTCTCTCCTTTTTTCCCTCTGAAGATGTCACAGCTTATACTGATTTAATTCTATATATGCTTCAAAATTTACATAATTAAGATAAAAAGCATCTGCAACTCAGTTTTTGATTGAGTTAATAGAAAAACAACTCCCCCACTGCAGCTTTCTGTCCTGCCTACTTTTACAAACCTTATAAAGCACTCATGGAGGAAACCATCCTATATACCATCCACTTCCAGACAAAGTGTAAATCTGTACAGGGTGCAAGAGGAAGGAATTTTCTTCTTCCACACTGTCAACCTAACTCAGTAATTATAGACACTACTGAATTGAAGGCTGGATCACAATCTGTCTCTACTCCCTCCAACAAGGAAAACCATAAGCCAGACTTGCTGAGATGCAGAATTCATTCCATAGCAGCTCATCGTATAAGAATTGCCAACGATCAGGCAAGCATGGAAGCATATCACCGGTACATTTGGGAGGAATTACAACCCATTTTAGATAGCCAACAGAGAACAAGAATTGTTTAGCAATTACATTGCAGCAGGAAGCTTATAATCTAGTGACTCACCAGGTATTTTCCGTTCACCATGTTGTGGACTGTTCTGCCAAAGAACATGGCTGCAGGAGTTAAGTTGAGAAGACATGCTTGAATGTGATTGTGTAACATTTTACGTGTTCATATTGTCGGTCTCTCTTTTGATGGAGAGGAACTCTTTAACACCAAAATGGATGAGCTAAAGGATGACCCTTGCAAGAAACAAACAACAGCTAAGCTCGTGGGAATTACCCCAACTGTCATCCAGTCAGTATAGAAAACCATGGCTTAGACCTAGACCTATACAAAATACAAATCTTTTGACTGATCACAGCCTTCCAGTCAGTTGACCCCACAGTATTATCAGAGCCATTCTCAACAGTGAAGGTTCAAATCCTCTGTCTCCAATAAAAAACAAGACAGAAAGTCAAAACATCATCTTTGACTGCATTACATCAAAGAGAGACAGTTTACACACAACAAAATCACCTCTTTCTTTCCCTTCCAACTAGCAGCCTTTAGTGTCACCACAGATGCTTGAGCACTTTCCATTGTCATTCTCTGTATAGAGCTTCAGAAACTTCCTCCCTGAATAAGGTTTTAATCTACTACTCCGTCAGACATGCTAAAAGATGAAATAACAATTTTTTTCCAAAGGACTACAATTTGGCATGTGCTGCTTGCAGAAATTTGAGACAGGTATTATTCATGCTACTTCTGAAAAAAAAAGATGTGTCTATATCCTATACTTGATCTCAGAGCTGTGCACAAAAATAGAACATCCAAGAAGTTTTGAATGGTGACTCTTGACTGTGTTCTACCATTACTCAATGAAGGAGACTCGTATGCTGTTGTGGATTTGAAGGGTGCATATTTCCACATCTCCATCAGAGAGAACTACCAATGCAACCTGTATTTTGTTCTGATAAATGAGATATATTAGCTTCAAATCCTGCTGTTCAGTATAGCAATTGTACCCAAAGTCTTCACGAAGTGCACGGCACCAATTACAGCATGCCTTTACCTGAGAGGTATCACAGTATTTCCTTATATAGACAACTGGTTTTTGGTAGCCACTTTTAAAAAAGCTTTCCACAGGAAGGTACAGTTTACTCTTAGTCTATTGTTGAGCCTTGATATAAACATTTTATTAGTTTTTCAACCTATC